CGTTGGCGAAGAAAATAATTAGGAAATATCCAATAACAACTGCCCATCTGAAAAAAGCAGACGATTTATTTAACAAGTATGATAAAGATAAGAATGGTGAGTGATACAAGTCGATTGTGGGGAAATTGCGGGTACTATGCGAATGGTTGAGCCCGTTGCAATTATGCATAGATTTTAGCTAACTGTTTATGGCTGGACAGGGTACCTTGAAATGAACGAGCTGAAGGAAATGTTTGAAGACATTGACAAGAGGCTTACATCTTTACCTGCAGTGAGTATAATGAAGCTCGGTATAATTTTGTGCATCTGTTTACAAATATCTCTTCAATGTCATAAACCTGTTGCTCACCATTTCTCCGGCCAATTGACAGACAGCTCAGGTAGCCCATCAACAGGGCAAATATCTTGGCAAAAAATTTAATCAACTGGCGTTGGCAGAAAAGACAAACATCATTCCATCACATCTTAAAGAAGACACGCTCTCTACCAACCCGGAGGATCAGCTGGCCCCCTTTGCGTATGCTCACTTGGGTTCACTTGCATACATAGGAAATGCAGCTGTGGCCGACTTTGGGATGGGGTGGACATGGATGGGCGGCCTAAGTGCAGTTTATTTATGGCGTAGTGTATATTTCAGTGAGCAAGTTTCCTTAAGAACGAGGGCTTTGTTGGCTTTGGATTGGACCAAGGTACGAATAAAAAACTGAAGTGTATGTTTGGGAGTGCATATAACAGGTTAATTGATATTGTTTTTCATTCTTGCAGCGATTCATGTTTGGGAGAGACATATCAAAGTTTTAGTTGTTCATGACGGTTTATGAGGAAAATGAATAAAGAGCGTTATACCACGTTGCACGTCGCAGAGCGCCAACACAGTGCAGAATGTCAATATGGAAAGAGCCGGTGTTTTTGTTGGGATGGTAGTAAATGAATGGCTCAACGAATTTCATGAGGCGTCTTGAATATCGGTAATGTAAATAGAACTGTTCTGATCCCACGATTGCGAGTGGAGAGAGGGTGGTCGTTCTTAATAAATGTATATACAATGGGTGAAAATTGTATTGGATTTTCCCTTTGAGACTTTGTAACGATGAAACGTGTCTAGCGCGCGTTAGTCTTTGTACTTTTTATATTTCAACTGCGAGTTTCAATTGACCAAGTTATATACCGTACCGAAAAGGTTACACGTTTTTTGCTCAAAGGCTTTCTCTTTGAGATTCTAACTTTGCACAAGT